TCCTCTTTAGTAAATCAGCAAGCTTCAACTTGAAAGTTGAAGCTGGGTGAGTTTATGCCTCCATTTAATCTAATTAATTCCATACTGCTAGCTCCACGTGGACTACCACAAAATATCATGCAAACTGTTAGATACAAAACAGCAAGAGAGGAAGTTTTGGGCCCCTCACTACAAAAAGGACATTGAATGACTCGAGCGTGTCCAGAGAAGGGCAACGAAGCTGATGAAGGGCCTGGAGCATGTCTTACAAGGAGCAGCTGAGGGAACTGGGGGTGTTTAGTCTGGAGAAGAGGAGGCTGAGGGGAGACCTCATCGCCCTCTACAGCTACCTGAAAGGAGGGTGCAGAGAGCTGGGGATGAGTCTCTTTAACCAGGCAACAAGTGATAGGACAAGAGGGAATGACCTCAAGTTGTGCCAGGGAAGGTTTAGACTGGATATTAGGAAGCATTTCTTTCCAGAAGGGGTTGTTAGGCGTTGGAATGGGCTGTCCAGGGAGGTGGTGGAGTCCCCATCCCTGGAGGTGTTCAAGAGTCGGGTTGACTCAGTGCTGAGGGATGTGGTATAGTTGGGAACTGTCAGTGCTAGGTCAGTGCTAGGACTGTATGATCTTCAAGGTCTTTTCCAACCTAGATGATTCTGTGAAGTTCCTGACTTTGTTAGCCTTGAAGAGCTCATCATTTCCCCCTCCCGCTTTCACTTCCTTGTGTTCCCAAGGGTGACCCCCACTACCCTGGTGTGCAGCTGTACCCACAGAAGCCTCATCATGTCAACTCTCAGCATCATACTCCCTAGCTATTACTTGGCTGTGGGAATACAGTACAGAGATGCTAAACTGGCTTTTGCCCACACAACTTACCACTATTGCTTCCAGCAGGATCCATTGCCCCTTTCAACATTAAGTATTTGAGATATATACACCTGACTCAAACTTTTTTTTTTTTCTCTCTGACCTTAAGATTAACCAGTGCTGATATGCATTAATGTAAGATATATATTGCTGCATACCCTTTTTTAATTCCCTCCCACCCACTTTCCCACACACATAGAAATAAGCAAGCACGTTCTTCAATATCACAAATATCATGACAAAGATCAGTAATCTGAAAGTGTGTGGCTGGAAGAAGGGGCAGGGGTGTGTTGGTGTGTGTGTGTGTGTGTCTCCTCTGCCTCTTTTTATGTCTCTCAGTTATCTTTCACTAGACGACATAAAACTTCCATGTTAGGGAAAAATTATGGTTTCAGAGTTTTGAGTTGAATATTGGATATAAAAATGTTATACATGTTCCAGTAAATACAAAGTGTATTCACATTCTGCACAGTGACATTATCTTACCAATCATACACTGGTACATAATTAGCAATAGGGGACCTTCTTTTTATGTTATGTCCTTAGGATTTCATACCTCCTAAAAATATTGAATGTCTAAAATCCTCATTTGTTTCTTACCCATAATTCTTTCTCTGAAAAATCTGGAGAAAGATTGCTAACATCTAATACACTCCTGGAAACTAAGGGCTTTTTTGAGATGACAATGTTACTGCAGCCATATTTCTTTTCATTCACAGTAGGCATATTATATCAAAAGGTGTATCTGGATAGAACCATCATGTGGAAGTAGGCTATTTCACATGTAGCAGGTAAACTGAAAAAATCTGCTGTTTGATCTTGATTGAAGTGAGTCATCAAAGGCAGTAAATTCAAGCTGTACTTTCTTTGTGTTTTGGCACATTATGAGCAGCATTTTAAATGGATAGTTTGATGGGAGATGGGAACATTTTTCTTCACTTCTCAAAGAACAAAAATTCCTGAGTTTTTCTCCATGCATCCGGAGAGCTGTAAAACTAACCAAGGACAAATATGAGGCTGCTGAAATATGAAACAATTAAAGGAAATCCCAGCCTAAATCATAATCTCCAGATGGAAAGTGTAAAAAAAAAAGTTTCATTGGATGCTCATTCTATGCTTTTTTTTTTTTTTCAGTGAGCCCTACTTACACTTAAAATAAAAAGATTTTGTGGGTTCACACAGGATATACCTATGTTTTCTCAAGAAATGCCAGTAACAATAAACAACTGAAATACTAAAAAGTAGTTTTTAGCAAGTTGCTTTAAAATTCTGACATGGTGTTCGTTCTCTGCTCCTAGTGACAGTGGTTTGACCCTTTTGTCTGGCAGTGATTGACAGTAGCTAAAATCTAGGTTCAATTTGTAGGGCTTACTGATCATACTCAAACGTCATTACCATGAGCCCTGGCCAGCTGAAAAAATGGTTTCAACTAAATTAATCTCTGCACACCCAGTAAAGTATCTCAGTAAATTAATTTCTACACACCCAGTAAAGTTAAACAGAAAACATCTAGCTGATCAGGGGATTATTGCACGGTAAAGAAAAAGAGAAGAATCATAATATGTCAATGGAGAAAACATAAATGCCTGAGAGAAAGCAACTGACACCCCCAGAGCAGGCTGGCAATGGTGCTAAGTCCTCTCTCCATGGCTGGATATGGCCAAGGAGGCAGGTAGTCACCTGCCAGGACTACCTCGTGTACCTATGATTTGATTGCCCATGATTTTTCTAATACATGATGATACCCATGACATATATTTTCCCTGAAAGTTCTTCTCTTTCTTCAGGGTTAGGGCTTGTGCTGTTGTCAGTTCAAAGCACCTCCCCTTGTTTAATCAATACATTCAAAACTTTTAAGGACAGAATTCCATTCCTCTTTTCAAAAGGGAGTAAAAGACTACCCATTTCATTGGAATTGAACTCACATGAGTAATGTATTTGACAGGTCATCCTCTAAATACCTCTGTGTCCCACCAGTCAGAAGTGACAGTGTGTTATACTTGCCAGTGTAATGAATGGTGATGAGCATTTTTATCCACGAGGGTACCTCAAGTTATGATTATTTTATTTTCAGGAAAAGATACTTCTCAGTAGAGAAAAATGAAAGAACTAATGGGGTTACTAAGAAAATAAATTTTTGCAATATTCAGAAACAAAGTGAAGAGAAACAAAATTTGTCTAATATTTGAAATACTAAACCAAGACAAGGTTTATTATCTATCAACCTGCTTTAGCTTTTCGTAGAAAGAAGTTCCATTTTAATTATGACATATCAAGATTTGGTATGCTATACGTATTTTAAGTAAGTTCTGTTGCACAAATTTGCAATCCTTTCTTTTTTTCTCACAAGAGTAAATACTGGAAAGAGATTTTGAAACTGATCTGAGAGAGCCTGCTGCTTAGCAAGTCATTGTAGGCCCACATCACCTTGATTCTTTTAAAACTTTACTTGCTGCAACTCACTGATAAACATTACAGGTGTATGGCCCAGATAACACTTCTAGTGGTCCAGCTTCTCTGATCTTCTGCTGCTGACAGTTGCCCATGTCAGATGTTTGTTTCTGAGGAAAACGAGAGAACTTCCATTGGAATACACTGTCCAGAGAGAAACTGTCATGCTTCTTCTCACTGCTGTTCAATTTTTCACAAAGCATTAAGGTTAATATTTCATGCACCTGATAATATGGAACATTTAATCATCTGTACAAGTGTCCATGGCTGAACTCAGCTGCTTTTCAACTAGATTAAGGTCAGTCTTTAATTCTCCTTTCCAATGATCATCTCAATAGATTCATTCAGTAAACTAAAATAATTAAATTTCTTAATTTTATTGTTTACAATAATTCAGTTTTGTTGTATTTCCATCTACTCAGAGCACAAGACTAACCCTAGTCATAGAATTCTTTACTTATATATTTTTATGATCTGTTCTGGTATATGTGTCCTGACCAAACTAAATAATCCCAGCATTTCTTATCAGGTTGTATCCTGTTCACAGACATCTGAAAATCTGATCTTTTTAATTCAGGAGCTAACTCAGCATTTGGATATGTCATTTTAAGCACTGGCTTTGAAAGCCACGAGTCTTCTATTAACCATCAGAGTATCTTCACTCAGTATGTTTAAAAATCTGTTTCATGCAAAAAAAGTCCCAAAAACCAACCAAACAAAAAAAGATTAAACATTAAAATTATGTCAGATAAAAATCTTAAGATCGGGATGTTCCTAAATTTGGGGGACTCCTGATATTCGTTATGAAAAATAGATGTAGCTGATTCTGTTTTGTTTTGGGTTTTTTGTGGTTTTTTTTTAACAATGGGCAAAACAATACCTCATACAACTCTTCAGAGAACAGAGGTTTGACATTCACAGCAGAATGTTTATAGATAGCCATTAAGCACAATATATGTAAGAAGAAAATAGTTAAAATCAGGTCCTACATAAATTATCACATAAATACAAAATCATATATTGTATTGATCCCCACACTTTCTCTATTAATTCTGGGTCTGTGTCATTAAATGTCTTGGCTATTTTCTTTTTGGGGGGTGTTATTATTGCTTTGCTATATTTAGCAGCAGTACCTACAAATTCCAACAGTGAATTAACACTGCTTTGTATTAAAACTGTCCAAACAATTAGCTCAAAGCCTGTTTGAGTTCCAGGAAACTCATATTTTAGAATGGGGTGTGGAAAGGAAAAGAATTGGCAAAGTACACTGATTAAAATATTAATGCCTATAGTTACACTGTCAGGCCCAGCTAGTTCCTCAAACTAGCCAAGGAACAACAACGAATACTTAACAATCCTCTTAACAACTAATATACTAATTTAATGGTGTTTATTAAAAGCCTTTTGACACATTTCTTCCTTATTGAAAATTTGCACAGAATACAAGTGCTTTTGAATGTTTAAGGAAGGTCTTCAACACAGAAAATCATTAAAGGGAAGAGAAAGGAATTTTCATCTCTCTATCTCTGGACATTTTGGGGTTCAAAAAGTTTCAGAGAAGGAAGAGATTTGGTATTGTTCTGAGTCAATTTGCTCTGGCTGAGGAAATGACGAGAAGGAAACTGTTTCCCTGTCTAGAGAACCATGTGGTGTTCCAAGATAAGGTGAGCACTTGCTAATTCGAGTCCACAAGCAGGAAGCATGATACATCCATTTCCTTTCAGGCAAACAACACAGTTCACTGGCAGCACAAAAGCATTGCTTCTACCGCTAAATCTCAAACGTTCAGAAACCCATTGCTCCTCTGTGGACATACCATTCTATATTTGTTATTTGGATGTTATGGATAGAAACAGTACTTACTCTCCAAACACATGGCCACCAAAGTTTTGGGGTAAGCATTTTGTTTCATTTTCCTAGAATATTGTTAAAGTAGATGCTGAGATTCACTGGTGATTGCCTTAAAAAAAATACATGTAGATACTTTCACGCTTCATGTTGAAAGCAGAAAGTAATAAATAGATTTTGTATTTCTTGCAGTGCAAAAGATTGTTTTCCAAATGTTTCTTTGACAAAGTTTATCATGGTTTTAAACTAATCAAGACAACAGGATTTGCCAGGGCAGAATTGATTGTTTGACAAAGTTCATTACCGAAGTCAGTTGAAAAGGTGTCTATTGACTTCAGTATGTTTCAGATCAGGTAGACATTCTCAGCCATTTAATGGATGTACCTACACAGCAGACATGACCTGTTTCATCCTCTAATGAAAAAGAGATAGCAAAACTAAATGTGTTGCAACCTTTGGAATAAACTCTTCTCCAAAATTAAAAATGATTTGTAATTTGTTGTGGTACCTCATGATCAGATTTTCCTTACTTTTTCCTCAATGTGTATTTTGATTATTATCCATTAAGACTTTTCTTTCACCCAAACCTGGGAATGGTTCATTAACTGAAACACACAGAGTGTGAAGTGGAAGTATATGTTACACTAAAATTCACTCAAGGTAATTAGATTCAGTGACTTGATCCTAAAAGATTCTGTGCAACAGCTATGGAGAACCTTTCCCTTCAAAAAGCTCTACTGCTTGCTATGTTTAACATTAACAATTATTAGCATTTAGTATTAGCATAATTCATATAATCTGTTTTTTGACTATTATTGCTATTGAGCAATGACCCCTCCAAGAATCCGTGCACTATCTAAAACTAAAAAATAAGATTCATTATCAAAATAGGGCTTTTTCTCATAGAAGTGCCCTGGGAAAAGAGTGGAAAATAACTATACAAGAAGATTTAAATAAGTTCCTTCACTTCCTTAGCATAAGAAACAAGAATCTGTCAAATGCCATTCACATGTTTCCTGCAGTGACATATATTTTCCTACTGGGAGACCATGAACAGCTCACTTCATTTTTGTGTCTTGGGCTAAAGAGTAGAGTAATGATACTGAACATCTTTGAGATTACAGATCTCACAAATTTATAGATTAACTGAGGAAAAAATACTGTTATTACTGTTCAGATTCTCTTGTTTTCTGGATGCTGTCTGCTGGACTCTGAAGAATAACTACCATTTTTGTACAGTGGAACTACATATAATTCTAAAATGGCTCAGACCAAAAATGAAAGTACTCTCATCAACATGGACTTTAAGAATCCTTGTGTAAAAGGTGCTGCCCTTTGTAACTGCAGATTCTGAGGTGAATTATTTCTTTGCTGTCATGCAAACATACACAAGAATCAGCAAAGTTATATGAACCTCTAAGAATTTATTAACCATACTGCTCAGACTGTGGGCAAGGTGTTCTTCATCTTCATGAAGAGTCAAAAAAAGCACCTAAGAAGTGACCTTTTAAATTCCACAGCATATTTCATGCAGCTGGCCCTGCTGGTGCTGGTGTTACTCTATCGTTCCATTTAAGGTACTTCTCCAGGTGTGCCAAACTGGTCCTCCAGTATCAAGAGCTGCATTTGATAACAGAGAGCAGAACACACGTGACCTGTCTATTGCTGACAGAGCCAGCATTGCCCACCTGGCTTGCCAGGCACTGATACTATACCCAGCCCTGATTGCCTCCAACTTGCTTATGCTCCGACAGCAGATGAACCTCACAGCTTGAGGTTTTGTGAGGATCTTGCATGGTCCTGGGAAGGGAAGATACCTCAGGTTTTTCATATTTTTCTGTTAGCTTTTAGAAGAGTTAGCAGCATTTCCTCTTCCTGTCCTGTAGGCATATCATATATTGTAGACTGGGGAGGGGCACTATATAGTTTGTGTCAGAAGACAATGACTGACACAAGCTCACTGTGAGGAAACTTCACTTAAAATGATAGAGGTGTATTTTGTGACATCTGTGGAGATATATGACCTGAAATAAACAGAAAACTACACATACTAGATATATATAAAATGGAGTTCTTTATTAAATGAGAATGTAGTACTTGAAACTGTGATTTTTCAGGATATGGCTTACAGGCTGTTACATTTTTTTTAAGCCACCCACTATTTAATACTGTGAGTGTGAATACATTACCAAGATGCAGATCATTTTCCATGCACGTGTGACTTCTCAGCAGCTCCCATGGACTCAGCCAAAGTGTAAACTATATGTCTGCAAAGGTTTGCTGAGGGGGACAAACTGAGAAAAAAATAAATTCTGTAAAAAATTGTTAAAGCAACTATTCATAATGATATTTAATCTCTTACAGTTTTAGAAACTGTCTATTCTCTTAACTGGTTACCTATCTGGAAAATATGCAGGCATCCTGTTTTCTGAAGCTGTCCAGTTTCCAGTGGTAACTTCACACAATAGCATCTTAAAAGTGACTCTAAAAATTTTTAAATGATGAATAAACTAAACTGGCCTCTGTTTATTTATGTGTGAGCACATATAAATCTTTACAACTGCTCCAGGCTAGTGAAAATGTGCATAAATAAATCTGTGTAGATAAAACCAACATATACACACCTTGATACAAGTCATGCTGTATGAATTACCTAAGTAATATAAACATCTCTCAATATTCATGCAAAGATCTTAACAAATAATAATAATACAAAAAAAAAAAAATTAACACACTTTCTTGAAAGCTTGGTGTAGAGTCAGTGATGGCCTGGAGAGTCGATAACTTGTGTAGCTGCAGATACTGCAGGAATTCTTCTGAATTCAATCTTCACCATCATCATTCTGCAGTATTTTTGAAATGCTAAATTATGCAGCAGAGTAAAATGGAAGAAGAAAAGCAGTAGTTTTGCTGGCCTAAAATAAATTCTAATGAAAAAACCAAAAAACAAAAAACAAACCCAAACCAAAAAGTAATATTAACCTCCTCTTAGATCATGAGTTTCACGATAGCGGTCCTGGCCCTGTCAGCAAATATCCTCTGTGTAATGTGTCACAAGCACAAAATGAGGATTCCGATTCTCACTTTGCTGGAGCTGTTCCCTACTACAGATGTTGTGCAGAGTCTTTGTAGTTATATGTGCCTGTTTCAGACAAGTTGTCTGAGCTACCGCAAAGATGCGGGAGCTCATCTGTTTCGGGTACCATCTTCTATGAAGCTATGTAGCCTTCAGTTATCTTCCTGTGTAGTGGGGATCCATAGTATGGTACTTTGGCAGAGATAGGAAGAGAAGCACTTAAAGATAGCCTCTGCTGAACTGCAGCATCGTTGGTATCACATGGGACTGTAGACAGAGAATCTGGATTATTTTTTTTTATTGGTAGTTTCTAAAGGAGGTTTGGCAATAGCTGAGTGAGAAATTCAGGGTTTGGTACCCATCCATCAACTACAAATTTCATTTTTTACTGTTTTAATATAGACTTAATTGAGTTAATTTTGATTTGTAAGTTAACAGAGGGATCAAGGATGCTTCCATTTTAACCAGGAGTGCATTTCTTGTAATTCCTAAAAGCATTTTCAGTCGCACACAATTAAATACAATAAATGTCTTAGAGATAATCCTATTTCTCCAGTGCAGATAGTAATATGCTTTCAGATCAGGAAATTGAATTTAAATAGTACATTTGATCAATATGACAGCAGGAGAGACAAAAAGTGTAAGCAGATATTAATCAACACAAACTTAGATCCCTAGACTATCCTTCAGTCTTGTTTTACTCAAGAATCTATCTAAAAATGCAACGTTAAAATTTAATACCTTAAAAACATTAAGGACATTTTTTTTCTTTTCTTGATCAGAATCCAGGGTGTTATTTGTCCAGTGTGTAGAAGCAATGCCATGTATCAGCTGGCTTTCAGCATTTTAAGATTACAAACTGCCTTGCACTAATAATCAAGTATTATCACTTGTCTTTATAAGTTACAAATGAACTCAGGGTTTTAAATATAATGTAAAATTTTGCCCTGTCTATCCCTCAGCCCACTGGTCTTCTCATTAAAGTGTCATTTTTTTGCTTGAAAGAAGTCAGACTATATACTCTGCTGGAGAAGATGGTCATTAGGGATGAACATATTCTAACATCTGACACTGTTGTGGTATCATGTTACTGGTGGTTAAGGACTTTGCATTATTCTCTTTATGAATTTATGAAGGGCAGCACTGACATGAACAGTAACACAGCCATTGAACACAGGAAAGTCCAATCCAGTCACCCATGGGACCTCACTTCTCTTCTTGGATCCTCCATGGGTGGTAGCCATGGCAGAGTAGAAGCAACAGCAGCAAATCCAGTCCAGTTCTTTGCAAGTGAGAAAAGAAGCATTCAGCTACCTGTGTGGTGACCAGGTTAAGCACGTTAGCTTCTACTCTGGTGACTTAGTGCATTTTCAGCATACCCACTGGGTGGTCTCTTCTCATTCCCTTTGCTCCTCTTCACACACTTTGTACTCTTTCAGTCTATAGTTTTAGCAGCAGCAAATTTGGGAGCTGCCTCAGCTGTCCTGCTGGAGATGTGGAGACACAAAGGCTACAATCTGGAGCCAGCTGTAGATCACTTGACAGCAAATGTGGCAGTGATAGCTTCTATCAGGCAATTACTCTTCCTAGTTTGATGGCTGGAAAACACCAATATAATCCAGAGTACCCCAGAGGGTCTTTATCCTGGTAGACTGGACATTGCTAGTGGGTCAGAGGGCTTAATTAAGGTGAAGATGCAATTCCTTTGCTGGCAGGCAGGAGGAAGAAAGAATAGATCCACTTGTAGATGCTTTACACCACTGGATATTTTTTTCTTAGTAGAGAAAACATTCAGAATTGAAGTGGAACGAAGTAGGAGGAAAACACAACAAAATTAGAGCCTTGGATCCAGGTGCAGTATCAACCTCAAGGATGCATCTCCTGAATTGATATTTTTATTCTCTTCCATTCCCTTTTCTGCCTTTTTAGAATTTCACCTGGGTGTGCATATTCTTCCTGGTCTTTCAATT